CACCCAGGTGCAGGCAAGGTACTTCAAACACCCAGGTGCAGGCAAGGTACTTCAAGCACTTGGGTGCAGGCAAGGTACTTCAAGCACCCGGGTGCAGGTAAGGTACTTTAAGCACCCGGGTGCAGGCAAGGTACTTCAAGCACCCGGGTGCAGGCAAGGTACTTTAAGCACCCAGGTGCAGGCAAGGTACTTCAAGCACCCGGGTGCAGACAAGATACTTCAAGCACCCGGGTGCGGGCAAGGTACTCCCAGCACCCGGGTGCAGACAAGGTACTTCAAGCACCCGGGTGCAGGCAAGGTACTTCAAGCACCCGGTTGCAGGCAAGGTACTCCTAGCACCCGGGTGCAGGCAAGGTACTCCCAGCACCCGGGTGCAGACAAGGTACTTGAAGCACCCGGGTGCAGGCAAGGTACTTCAAGCACCCGGTTGCAGGCAAGGTACTCCTAGCACCCGGGTGCAGGCAAGGTACTTCAAGCACCCGGGTGCAAGCAAGGTGCTTCCAGCACCTGGGTTGCAGGTAAGATACTTCAAGGACCCGGGTGCAGGCAAGGTACTTCAAACACCCAGGTGCAAGCAAGGTACTCCCAGCACCCGGGCGCGCGCAAGGTACTTCAAGCACCAAGGTGCAGGCAAGGTACTGTAAGCACCCGGGTACAGGCAAGTTACTCCCAGCACCCGGGTGCAGGCAAGGTACTCCTAGCACCTGGGTGCAGGCAAGGTACTTTAGGCACCCGGGTACAGGCAAGGTACTCCCAGCACCCGGGTACAGGCAAGGTACTTTAAGCACCCGGGTGCAGGCAAGGTACTCCCAGCACCCGGGTGCAGACAAGGTACTTCAAGCACCCGGGTGCAGGCAAGGTACTCCCAGCACCCGGTTGCAGGCAAGGTACTCCTAGCACCTGGGTGCAGGCAAGGTTCTCTCAGCACCCGGGTGCAGGTAAGGTACTCCCAGCACCCGGGTTCAGGCAAGGTACTTGAAGCACCCGGGTGCAGACAAGGTACCCTAAGCACCCGGGTGCAGGCGAGGTACTCTCCACACCCGGGTGTAGGCAAGGTACTCCCAACACTTTGGTGCAGGCAAGGTACTCCAGGCACCGTACGCCCCAATTTCACATACACACAGAAAATCACACTAACGTACACATATATCAATGAGAAAATTCACTGGAGCTCTGAGGTGACTCGAACCTATGATCAAGGCATTGTCAGTTGCACTCTCCACCACTGACTTGGTAAATGTCATACAAGATTTTTTGTTGAACTATGTTTCCTGCACCAGATTGCTTGGTGGTCATGCATAGAACTTGGACTGGCTTCTCCAGACTTCCTGTTATTTCAGTAGAAATCGTGTTGTATGACTGTTTAACAAGTCGGTGGTGGTATAGTAGTAGAATATGTGGCTGACTATGCCTTGGTCGCACGTTCGCATCACCTCAGAGCCCCGGTGAACTCTATATATATCCTATGCTGGCCTTGGCCCTCTCGACCACGATAGAACAAAAGCTGACGAACCCGGAACTCGACTGATTTCACCGGGAGGTTCTGGAGGCCTTGGTTCTACTTATGAACACTGTCGTGGTCAGAGTACCAGTGATTGTCATAAGGAGATCCGGTGGCCTGGGTTCGAATCCTCTGAAGGGGTCATAGAGGTCATAGAGTTAAAGCGATTATATATATATATATATATATATATATATATATATATATATATATATATATATATATATATATATATATATATATATATATATATATATATATATATGTCGTACCTAGTAGCCAGAACTCACTTCTCAGCCTACTATGCAAGGCCCGATTTGCCTAATAAGCCTAGTTTTCATGAATTAATGTTTTTTAGACTACCTAACCTACCTAACCTAACCTAACCTAACGTTTTCGGCTACCTAACCTAACCTAACCTATAAAGATAGGTTAGGTTAGGTTAGGTTAGGTAGGGTTGGTTAGGTTCGGTCATATATCTACGTTAATTTTAACTCCAATAAACAAAAATTTTCCTCATACATAATGAAATGGGCAGCTTTATCATTTCATAAGAAAAAAATTAGAGAAAATATATTAATTCAGTAAAACTTGGCTTATTAGGCAAATCGGGCCTTGCATAGTAGGCTGAGAAGTGAGTTCTGGCTACTAGGTACGACATATATATATATATATATATATATATATATATATATATATATATATATATATATATATATATGTCGTACCTAGTAGCCAGAATGCACTTCTCGGCCTACTATGCAGGGCCTGATTTGCCTAATAAGCCAAGTTTCCCTGAATTAATATATTTTCTCTAATTTTTTTCTTATGAAATGATAAAGCTACCCATTTCATTATGTATGAGGTCAATTTTTTTTTATTGGAGTTAAAATTAACGTAGTAATATGACCGAACCTAACCAACCCTACCTAACCTAACCTAACCTATCTTTATAGGTTAGGTTAGGTTAGGTAGCCGGAAAAGTTAGGTTAGGTTAGGTTAGGTAGGTTAGGCAGTCGAAAAACAATTAATTCATGAAAACTTGGCTTATTAGGCAAATTGGGCCTTGCATAGTAGGCTGAGAAGTGCGTTCTGGCTACTAGGTACGACATATATATATATATATATATATATATATATATATATATATATATATATATATATATATATATATATATATATATATTATACTTGTTAGTCAGTAAGCTACAGAAACTTTGGTAGTAGGGTTCCAGAGAGTTAAATCTATGTAAATTAAAATGGAAATGTTCGTTTGTGCATAACCGCTAATCTCTGAAAGTTCTTCACCTATTGGTTTGAAATTTTCACACAACGTTCCATTCGCTTCCGAGCAGGTTTTTATATACATACTATATAGATGTCACGTCTGTGACGGTAAAAAAAAAATCATGCTTTTTTCTGTAAAACTGTGTTTTTCATGTGAGGGAAATATTCGAAACTTCTTTACCGAGTGCTTTGAAACTTCGACACAACGTTGCATTCAAATAGACGCGTCTTTTTATATATTTACTATACACATGACTCACTTGTGACTGGAAAAACATGCTTTTTTGAAAAACAGCGCCATATGTTGGACGTAAGAGCAACACACGCTGTAATCTCCGAAAGTTCTTCACCGATTACTTTGAAATTTTAACACATAGTTTCATTCGAATAAGCGCATCGTTTTATATACCTACTATATAGATGCCACTCCTCTGACAGGTAAAATCATGCGTTTTTGAAAAACAGCACCATCTGTTGCATATAACAGCAACATGCATGCTGTACTAAATATGTCATGAATTCCATTTCAGTGTTTCCCATTGCATTGATAAATTATATTTTCATAGATTTCAATTTATTTTATTTTTTATTGAATTGTTTTGTGAGACATTGTGTCGGTGTTGTTTACCATACCGTTCATTTCGTAAGTATAAGTATAGATGCCACACCTGTGACAGGTAAAACTATGCTTTTCTTGAAAAACAGCGCCATCTGTTGCATGTAAGAGCAACACACATGCTATACTAAATATGTTACAATTCCATTTCAATGTTTCTGATTGCATTAATAAATTGAATTTCCATAGATTTTTATTTATTTTCATTTTTAATTAATTATTTTTTTGTGAATTGCGTTGGAATTGAGCCGTGTTGTTTGCCATACCATTCATTTTGTGAGTAAAGTTTATTTTTTTATTTTTTCTTATTTTCATTTCATTTTTTAACTGTTTTTCTTATATTTCAGTGAAGGGAACATCAGATCACTTGATGTTCCGTATTTTCTGATGGGAACATCAGACCATTTGGGAAGGCATCGGACGAGGGAGTGGGGATGACGAGGGGACGGAAGTGAGAGATTATTTTTTTTTTGTTTTGCATAGGTATTCCTGCGCGGGCTCTAAGCCTCTGGCTGGCCCACTAAAAGTGAGAGATGGTGGGGAGGACCTGGGGACAAAGGAGAGGGTAATGGTGGGAAAGGACGAGGGGATGGGGGAGTTTGGGATGGTGGGGACGAGGGGATGGGGGAATAGAGAATGGTGGGGAGACTCAGCATGTGCGTTGCTGAGCCACAGCAACGCGTGGCCGGTTACTGCTAGTAGAGAATATAAGAGAATTTAACCCTAATATAAGGTACCAATTTCTGTTATAATAATGGAGCATTTATAAAGCAGGTTCTTTATTGTAATTTTAGACCTTAACTTAGAGATAAGATCCGCACATACTAAGACTTCCTCGGCCCCTATACCTCCCTCAGGGATGGTCCCTACCTCCCTCAGGGATGGCCCCTACCTCCCTCAGGGATGGCCCCTACCTCCCTCGGGGATGGTCCCTACCTCCCTCAGGGATGAGCTTCTTGATGTGTATATTGACACCCTTGTCCCTTACCTCCCTTAGGGATGGTCCCTACCTCCCTCAGGGATGGTCCCTTACCTCCCTCAGGGATGGTCCCTACCTCCCTCAGGGATGGTCCCTTACCTCCCTCAGGGATGAGCTTCTTGACGTGTATATTGACACCCTTGTCCCTTACCTCCCTCAGGGATGGTCCCTACCTCCCTCAGGGATGAGCGTCTTGACGTGTATATTGACACCCTTGTCCCTTACCTCCCTCAGGGATGGTCCCTACCTCCCTCAGGGATGGTCCCTACCTCCCTCAGGGATGGTCCCTACCTCCCTCAGGGATGGTCCCTACCTCCCTCAGGGATGGTCCCTACCTCCCTCAGGGATGAGCGTCTTGACGTGTATATTGACACCCTTGTCCCTTACCTCCCTCAGGGATGGTCCCTACCTCCCTCAGGGATGGCCCCTACCTCCCTCAGGGATGGTCCCTACCTCCCTCAGGGATGAGCTTCTTGACGTGTATATTGACACCCTTGTCCCTTACCTCCCTCAGGGATGGTCCCTACCTCCCTCAGGGATGGTCCCTACCTCCCTCAGGGATGGTCCCTTACCTCCCTCAGGGATGGTCCCTACCTCCCTCAGGGATGGTCCCTTACCTCCCTCAGGGATGAGCTTCTTGACGTTTATAACGGCGGTCTTCAGTTGGTCTTGAGAGGTGACGTCCAGCTGGAGGGGGTGAAGGCGGGGGGAACCTTCGTCTCGCAGGCGCTGCACACCTTCCCCTTCCTTACCCAGGCAACACGCAATCACCCGGAACCCCTGTGGAGAGGCATGATGTCAACAGTTAACCTCGGGGTGATGAGAGACGGGCAACACCAGGGTGAGGGGAGACAGGTAACACCAGGGTGAGGGGAGACAGGCAACACCAGAGTGAGGGGAGACAGTCAACCTAGGGTGAGGAGGGAGACGAGCAACACCAGAGTGAGGCGAGACAGGCAGCACTAGAGTGAGGGGAGATAGGCAACACCAGGGTGAGGGGAGACAGTCAGAACTAAGGTGAGGGAAGCCAGTGAGAACTACAGTGAGGGTGAGTCAATCAATACCAGGGAGAGGAGAGCTAGACAATACAAGGGTGAGGGGAATTAGTCAGAACCAGGGTGAGGGGGAAGCCAATCAATACCAGAATGAGGGGAGGCAGTCAGTGCCCTAGTGAGGGGAGCCATTTAGTACAAGGGAGAGCGGAGCCAGTAAGTATTAGGATGAGGGGTGCCAGTCAGAACTAGGGTAAGGGGAGCCAGTCAATACTATAGAGAGGGACGCCAGTCAATACTAGGGTGAGGGAAGGCAGTCAGTACCAGGGTGATTGGAGCCAGACAATACAAGGGTGAGGGGAGCTAGACAATACAAGGGTGAGGGGAGCTAGACAATACAAGGGTGAGGGGAGCTAGACGATACCAGGGTGAGGGGGAGCCAGTCAGCACCAGAGTGATGGGAGTTAGCCAGTACCAGGGTGAAGGGAGTCAGACAAGTACCAGGGTGAAGGGAGTCAGACAAGTACCAGGGGGAGGAGATATTCAGTACCAGGGTGAGGGGAACCAGTCAGCACCAAAGTGATGGGAGCTAGTCAGTACCAGGGTGAAGGGAACCAGACAATACCAGGGTGTGAGGTGCCCGTCATTACCAGGGTGAGGGAAATCAATTAGTTCCAGGGAGAGAGGAACTAGCCAATATCAGGGTGAAGGAAAGTAGACAATGTCAGGGTGAGGGGAGCCAGTCAATACCAGAGTGAGAGGAGATGGGCAACACCAGGGTGAGGGGAACCAGTCAGCAGCAGAGTGAGGGTGAACTAGTCAAGGTGTGGAGAGGTAGACAATACTAAAATGAGGGGACACAGTCGGTACCAGGGTGAAAGGAGCCAGTCATTACCAGGGTGAGGGAAGCTATATAGACCATATCAAGTAAAGGGAGCCAGTCAGAAGGAGGGTGAGGGGAGACGGGCAACACCTGGTTAAGGGGAGCCAGTAAGTACCAGGGTGAGAGGAGCAAGACAATACCAGGGTGAAGAAAGCCTGTCAATATCAGGATGTGGGGCGGCAGACAATACCAGGGTGAGGTGAACTAGCCAGTTTCAGGGTGAGGGGATCCAGTCAGTATTAGGGTGAGAGGGGAGCCAGTCAGTACCAGGGTGAGGGGAGCCAGTCAGTACTAGGGTGAGGGGAGCCAGTCAGTACCAGGGTGAGGGGAGCCAGTCAGTACCAGGGTGAGGGGAGCCAGACAATACCAGGGTGAGGGGAGCCAGACAATACCAGGGTGAGGGGAGCCAGACAATACCAGAATGAGAGGAGCCAGACAATACCAGGGTGAGAGGAGCCAGACAATACCGGAATGAGAGGAGCCAGACAATACCAGGGTGAGGGGAGCCAGACAATACCAGGGTGAGAGGAGCCAGACAATACCGGAATGAGAGGAGCCAGACAATACCAGGGTGAGGGGAGCCAGACAATACCAGGGTGAGGGGAGCCAGACAATACCAAGGTGAGGGGAGCCAGACAATACCAGGGTGAGGGGAGCCAGACAATACCAGGGTGAGGGGAGCCAGACAATACCAGGGTGAGGGGAGCCAGACAATACCAGAATGAGAGGAGCCAGACAATACCAGGGTGAGAGGAGCCAGACAATACCAGGGTGAGAGGAGCCAGACAATACCAGAGTGAGGGGAGCCAGACAATACCAGGGTGAGGGGAGCCAGACAATAACAGGGTGAGGGGAGCCAGACAATATGCAGGGTGAGGGGAGCCAGACAATACCAGGGTGAGGGGAGCCAGACAATACCAGGGTGAGGGGAGCCAGACAATACCAGAATGAGAGGAGCCAGACAATACCAGAGTGAGGGGAGCCAGACAATACCAGGGTGAGGGGAGCCAGACAATACCAGGGTGAGGGGAGCCAGACAATACCTGGGTGAGGGGAGCCAGACAATACCAGGGTGAGGGGAGCCAGACAATACCAGGGTGAGGGGAGCCAGACAATAACAGGGTGAGGGGAGCCAGACAATATGCAGGGTGAGGGGAGCCAGACAATACCAGGGTGAGGGGAGCCAGACAATACCAGGGTGAGGGGAGCCAGACAATAAGGGTGAGGGGAGCCAGGGTGAGGGGAGCCAGACAATATGCAGGGTGAGGGGAGCCAGACAATACCAGGGTGAGGGGAGCCAGACAATACCAGGGTGAGGGGCCAGCCAGACAATACCAGGGTGAGGGGAGCCAGACAATACCAGGGTGAGGGGAGCCAGACAATACCAGGGTGAGGGGAGCCAGACAATACCAGGGTGAGGGGAGCCAGGGTGAGGGGAGCCAGACAATACCAGGGTGAGGGGAGCCAGACAATACCAGGGTGAGGGGAGCAGGGTGAGGGGCCAGCCAGACAATATGCAGGGTGAGGGGAGCCAGACAATACCAGGGTGAGGGGAGCCAGACAATACCAGGGTGAGGGGAGCCAGACAATACCAGGGTGAGGGGAGCCAGACAATACCAGGGTGAGGGGAGCCAGACAATACCAGGGTGAGGGGAGCCAGACAATACCAGGGTGAGGGTAGCCAGACAATACCAGGGTGAGGGAGCCAGACAATACCAGGGTGAGGGGAGCCAGACAATACCAGGGTGAGGGGAGCCAGGGTGAGGGGAGCCAGACAATACCAGGGTGAGGGGAGCCAGACAATATGCAGGGTGAGGGGAGCCAGACAATACCAGGGTGAGGGGAGCCAGACAATACCAGGGTGAGGGGAGCCAGACAATACCAGGGTACCAGAGGGGAGCCAGACAATACCAGGGTGAGTACCAGAGTGAGGGGAGCCAGACAATAGGGGAGCCAGGGTGAGGGGAGCCAGACAATACCAGGGTGAGGGGAGCCAGACAATACCAGGGTGAGGGGAGCCAGACAATACCAGGGTGAGGGGAGCCAGACAATACCAGGGTGAGGGGAGCCAGACAATACCAGGGTGAGGGGAGCCAGACAATACCAGGGTGAGGGGAGCCAGACAATACCAGGGTGAGGGGAGCCAGACAATACCAGGGTGAGGGGAGCCAGACAATACCAGGGTGAGGGGAGCCAGACAATAACAGGGTGAGGGGAGCCAGACAATATGCAGGGTGAGGGGAGCCAGACAATACCAGGGTGAGGGGAGCCAGACAATACCAGGGTGAGGGGAGCCAGACAATACCAGGGTGAGGGGAGCCAGACAATATGCAGGGTGAGGGGAGCCAGACAATACCAGGGTGAGGGGAGCCAGACAATACCAGGGTGAGGGGAGCAGGGTGAGGGGAGCCAGACAATACCAGGGTACCAGAGTGAGGGGAGCCAGACAATACCAGGGTGAGGGGAGCCAGACAATACCAGGGTGAGGGGAGCCAGACAATACCAGGGTGAGGGGAGCCAGACAATACCAGGGTGAGGGGAGCCAGACAATACCAGACAATACCAGGGTGAGGGGAGCCAGACAATACCAGGGTGAGGGGAGCCAGACAATACCAGGGTGAGGGGAGCCAGACAATACCAGGGTGAGGGGAGCCAGGGTGAGGGGAGCCAGACAATACCAGGGTGAGGGGAGCCAGACAATACCAGGGTGAGGGGAGCCAGACAATACCAGGGTGAGGGGAGCCAGACAATACCAGGGTGAGGGGAGCCAGACAATACCAGGGTGAGGGGAGCCAGACAATACCAGGGTGAGGGGAGCCAGACAATACCAGGGTGAGGGGAGCCAGACAATACCAGGGTGAGGGGAGCCAGACAATACCAGGGTGAGGGGAGCCAGACAATACCAGGGTGAGGGGAGCCAGACCAGGGTGAGGGGAGCCAGACAATACCAGGGTGAGGGGAGCCAGACAATACCAGGGTGAGGGGAGCCAGACAATACCAGGGTGAGGGGAGCCAGACAATACCAGGGTGAGGGGAGCCAGACAATACCAGGGTGAGGGGAGCCAGACAATACCAGGGTGAGGGGGGAGCCAGACAATACCAGGGTGAGGGGAGCCAGACAATACCAGGGTGAGGGGAGCCAGACAATACCAGGGTGAGGGGAGCAGGGTGAGGGGAGCCAGACAATACCAGGGTGAGGGGAGCCAGACAATACCCAGGGTGAGGGGAGCCAGACAATACCAGGGTGAGGGGAGCCAGACAATACCAGGGTGAGGGGAGCCAGACAATACCAGGTGAGGGGAGCCAGACAATACCAGGGTGAGGGGAGCAGGGTGAGGGGAGCCAGACAATACCAGGGTGAGGGGAGCCAGACAATACCAGGGTGAGGGGAGCCAGACAATACCAGGGTGAGGGGAGCCAGACAATACCAGGGTGAGGGGAGCCAGACAATACCAGGGTGAGGGGAGCCAGACAATACCAGGGTGAGGGGAGCCAGACAATAACAGGGTGAGGGGAGCCAGACAATATGCAGGGTGAGGGGAGCCAGACAATACCAGGGTGAGGGGAGCCAGACAATACCAGGGTGAGGGGAGCCAGACAATACCAGGGTGAGGGGAGCCAGACAATACCAGGGTGAGGGGAGCCAGACAATACCAGGGTGAGGGGAGCCAGACAATACCAGGGTGAGGGGAGCCAGACAATAACAGGGTGAGGGGAGCCAGACAATACCAGGGTGAGGGAAGCCAGACAATACCAGGGTGAGGGAGCCAGACAATATGCAGGGTGAGGGGAGCCAGACAATACCAGGGTGAGGGGAGCCAGACAATACCAGGGTGAGGGGAGCCAGACAATACCAGGGTGAGGGCAGCCAGACAATATGCAGGGTGAGGGGAGCCAGACAATACCAGGGTGAGGGGAGCCAGACAATACCAGGGTGAGGGGAGCCAGGCAATACCAGGGTGAGGGGAGCCAGACAATATGCAGGGTGAGGGGAGCCAGACAATACCAGGGTGAGGGGAGCCAGACAATATGCAGGGTGAGGGGAGCCAGACAATACCAGGGTGAGGGGAGCCAGACAATACCAGGGTGAGGGGAGCCAGGCAATACCAGGGTGAGGGGAGCCAGACAATATGCAGGGTGAGGGGAGCCAGACAATACCAGGGTGAGGGGAGCCAGACAATACCAGGGTGAGGGGAGCCAGACAATACAAGAGTGAGGGGAGCCAGACAATACAAGAGTGAGGTTAGCCAGACAATACAAAAGTGAGGGGAGCCAGACAATACCAGGGTGAGGGGAGTCAGACAATACAAGAGTGAGGGGAGCCAGACAATACAAGAGTGAGGGGAGCCAGACAATACAAGAGTGAGGGGAGCCAGACAATACCAGGGTGAGGGGAGCCAGACAATACCAGAGTGAGGGGAGCCAGACAATACCAGAGTGAGGGGAGCCAGACAATACCAGAGTGAGGGGAGCCAGACAATACCAGAGTGAGGGGAGCGAGATAATACCAGAGTGAGGGGAGTTAGTCGGTACCCGTGCGGTTGGGCGCGTTTCCTATCACCTCATGCTTCTGTTCATCTAGCAGTAAATAGGTACCTAGGAGTTAGTCAGCATGGAGTTGCATCCTCAGGCGGGGTCAGTAAGTCGACCCTGGGGACGACCTCGATATTAGCCTAACATGTACAGTGTATATATATATTGGCTGCCTGTCCCCGACACATTGAATTATACACAAGTGCGAAGACACATAGATACAAAATAATGGCACTAAGAGCCAGAGTCCAGCTGGCCGCTGTGAGGTAGTGAAAGTGAGAGCCAGAGTCAAGCTGGCCGCTATGAGGTAGTGACAGTGTGAGCCAGAGGCCAGCTGGCCGCTGTGAGGTAGAGACAGTGTGAGCCAGAGTCCAGCTGGCCGCTGTGAGGTAGTGACAGTGAGAGGCAGAGGCCAGCTGGTCTCCGTGAGGTAGTGACAGTGAGAGCCAGAGGCTAGCTGGCCGCTGTGAGGTAGTGACAGTGAGAGCCAGAGGCTAGCTGGCCGCTGTGAGGTAGTGACAGTGAGAGCCAGAGTCCAGCTGGCCGCTGTGAGGTAGTGACAGTGAGAGCCAGAGGCCAGCTGGCCGCTGTGAGGTAGTGACAGTGAGAGCCAGAGTCCAGCTGGCCGCTGTGAGGTAGAGACAGTGAGAGGCAGAGGCCAGCTGGCCGCTGTGAGGTAGTGACAGTGAGAGGCAGAGGCCAGCTGGCCGCTGTGAGGTAGTGACAGTGAGAGCCAGAGTCCAGCTGGCCGCTGTGAGGTGGAGACAGTGAGAGCCAGAGTCCAGCTGGCCGCTGTGAGGTAGTGACAGTGAGAGGCAGAGGCCAGCTGGCCGCTGTGAGGTAGTGACAGTGAGAGGCAGAGGCCAGCTGGCCGCTGTGAGGTAGTGACAGTGAGAGCCAGAGTCCAGCTGGCCGCTGTGAGGTAGTGACAGTGAGAGCCAGAGGCCAGCTGGCCGCTGTGAGGTAGTGAGAGTGAGAGCCAGAGGCCAGCTGGCCGCTATGAGGTAGTGACACTCTGAGCCAGAGGCCAGCTGGCCGCTGTGAGGTAGTGACACTCTGAGCCAGAGGCCAGCTGGCCGCTGTGAGGTAGAGACAGTGAGAGCCAGAGGCCAGCTGGCCGCTGTCAGGTAGTGACAGTGAGAGCCAGAGTCCAGCTGGCCGCTGTCAGGTAGTGACAGTGAGAGCCAGAGGCCAGCTGGCCGCTGTCAGGTAGTGACAGTGAGAGCCAGAGTCCAGCTGGCCGCTGTGAGGTAGTGACAGTGTGAGCCAGAGGCCAGCTGGCCGCTGTCAGGTAGTGACAGTGAGAGCCAGAGTCCAGCTGGCCGCTGTCAGGTAGTGACAGTGTGAGCCAGAGTCCAGCTGGCCGCTGTGAGGTAGAGACAGTGTGAGCCAGAGGCCAGCTGGCCGCTGTGAGGTAGAGACAGTGAGAGCTAGAGTCCAGCTGGCCGCTGTGAGGTAGTGACAGTGTGAGCCAGAGGCCAGCTGGCCGCTGTGAGGTAGAGACAGTGTGAGCCAGAGGCCAGCTGGCCGCTGTGAGGTAGTGACAGTGTGAGCCAGAGTCCAGCTGGCCGCTGTGAGGTAGAGACAGTGTGAGCCAGAGGCCAGCTGGCCGCTGTGAGGTAGAGACAGTGTGAGCCAGAGGCCAGCTGGCCGCTGTGAGGTAGAGACAGTGTGAGCCAGAGGCCAGCTGGCCGCTGTGAGGTAGAGACAGTGTGAGCCAGAGTCCAGCTGGCCGCTGTGAGGTAGTGACAGTGTGAGCCAGAGGCCAGCTGGCCGCTGTGAGGTAGTGACAGTGTGAGCCAGAGGCCAGCTGGCCGCTGTGAGGTAGAGACAGTGTGAGCCAGAGGCCAGCTGGCCGCTGTGAGGTAGTGACAGTGAGAGCCAGAGGCCAGCTGGCCGCTGTGAGGTAGTGACAGTGTGAGCCAGAGGCCAGCTGGCCGCTGTGAGGTAGTGACAGTGAGAGCCAGAGTCCAGCTGGCCGCTGTGAGGTAGAGACAGTGAGAGCCAGAGGCCAGCTGGCCGCTGTGAGGTAGTGACAGTGAGAGCCAGAGTCCAGCTGGCCGCTGTAAGGTAGTGACAGTGAGAGCCAGAGGCCAGCTGGCCGCTGTGAGGTAGAGACAGTGTGAGCTAGAGGCCAGCTGGCCGCTGTGAGGTAGTGACAGTGTGAGCCAGAGTCCAGCTGGCCGCTGTGAGGTAGTGAGAGTGAGAGCCAGAGGCCAGCTGGCCGCTGTGAGGTAGAGACAGTGTGAGCCAGAGGCCAGCTGGCCGCTGTGAGGTAGTGACAGTGAGAGCCAGAGGCCAGCTGGCCGCTGTGAGGTAGTGACAGTGAGAGCCAGAGTCCAGCAGGCTGCTATGAGATAGTGGCACTAACCAGCTTGTCCAAGTGTAGCGCCAGGGTGTTGCCGAAGCCAGAGTCGCAGCCGGTGACGAGCACCACCTTCCCCTCGCAACACACCTGCCACAACACACTTCACTATAATATCCAAGTTTAACATGCAATATATTGGTTAAGAATGAATTATAATGAAACATTTGTAAGTACCACACATTATAAACGAATATAAGTAAGAGGATATACAGTGACGCAACATTCATGGTAATATTCGCCCTACAAAATTTGATAATACACTTAACATCACCGTAACATACAACACTAACCATGATAAATGTTTTACAGTATTGTACCAAATGTGGACTAATTATAATTACACTCTTACATTAACACAGCAAGTTAAAATTATTAAATCAAATTCATCCCTGATGCAATAACACATGGTTATTGCATTAGTGTCACAGCCTTAGTGAAACAAAGAGAAACGTTGGCTTAGGATACTGTGATGTTGGCTTCGGAAAATCTGAATTATTTTAAAAATATATTAAGCTTACATTATAAATTCTTAAAGTAAATTATATTAAACTAACACCAAAAATACATTTCTCCTTAAGTTAAAATCAGTAATTGCTTAAAAGAAGGATAATTAATCAAAAAACAACCTACGCTATAAGCCGTGCTATGTACGGCTTATAGCGTAAGTTGTGTTCTATGATCACGAGCTGGGGGCCTACGTGTCATTGTATAGTTAATTACTTAGCTGATGACACAGCTAAATACTCTGCATTTGTCGACATCAAAGGAGCCTTCGATAAAGCAAAATGGATTGCGATCGTGGAAGAGCTTGCATTCATGAGTGTCAAGGGGAAGAATCATGAAATTGATTGAAGACTATCTCACAAGAAGGAAAGCGAAAGTCGTCTCGATGGAGCAGTCTCGAGAACAATGAATATATAATTTGGGCCCACTCAACTAAGAGTATTACATCTCACACTATTCACCATCCTTATGAACGACATTGCAAATACTGAATTTTCGGAAGGAACACAACAAGTGGGAGATGCAGTTGATGTCATAATACAAGACCCCCACATTTGAAAATTTTTAACAGCCTATTCAATTCCCTGGAAGGAAGTGTGTTGAACTCGGTTTCACTCTCTCCACAAACAAGACAAAAGCCTATACTCTCATCACAAGCGGGGAGAAAATGAAGAACTGCAGTTTAAGGGTGAAACACTTGTGAGGGTTGATGTTTTGATTATAGATAGCCTAACCGAGACTACTAACCGAGACCCCCTCTCCGCTCAGCTCGTTGTCGCCGTGTGGGGGCTTAGTGGACGGCTGCCGGAGTGTGATGCTCCTTGGGACAGTCCTCTGTCCTTTTCTAGCCTTGTGCTCCTGCTGCCGTCCTCTCCAATTCTGCTGGGCATCTTTTCCTTTTCCTTCTGTTTCGTTTTTCTCCCCCCTCTTCTCCTATCTGCTTGCCGTTTCCTACCGACCTTTTGCTCGTTCTGGTTCTTCCCTTGGACTTCTTCTATTTTGACGCCCGGGTGCTTGAGGAGGCATACTCATGCACCCGTAGAACTGCAGTACCCGACGTCGAGAGCGAGGGGAACCTTTTATTGTCAATCCCCACTTCGTCACTGAACCCGATCACGACGGACTGTCGGTTTCTTAAGGTGGCGTTTGTGGGGCGTATACTCGCAACGCACCCCTAGGAGGCCCCGACAAGATCGGCGATAGCTTCTTGTTGGGTGTCCTGCCTCTAATTGTGGCTCCATGGTGGGTGTGGGGGCACATTCGTGAGTGAATTCTTTCTTTCGTCAAGATGATTACCCCTGCTTCGGCTTCTTCTGGTTTACCTTCTCAGGCTCGTGGGGTGGGCGACCAAGCCCCCGAGTCGGTCCGTATTGGAAGACCGGGCTCTGTAGCCTCCGCTGCATTGGGCCCCGACCTTGCTCCTCCTTTGGCCTCTCTGACTCCTTCCTCTGGCTCCCCTCCCTCCTCTGTGGTTGGGTCGAGCCCCAAGCCCCCAGTGGTGACTACCTCGTCCCCTGGCGCGGCTCCTTCTCTAGTTGTAACTACTGCGCCTTTTAACCCCTCTCTCTCTGGGGGTTCTCACCGCCGTCCTCGTCACGGCCGCCCTCGCTCGATTCCTTCCAGTTCTGCTACCTATCAAGCCTTGTTTGGTCCCGCTTCGTGGGTCAAATATTTTGATCTCCTCCCTCTTGATTCTGCGCCTCCTGACGATTTCTCCCTCCATCGACATCTCATTGATTCCGTGGATGCCTCCATTACTTTCAACCCCACTCGTCTCGGTACACGTGTCGTTGCTGCTCCTTCTCAGGATGCTGCTTCCCGCTTGGCTGCCTTATCCTGCCTTGGCGAGACCCCCGTTTGGGTCTCGAAGAACGTTCAGTTGAATGCCAGTGTTGGCACTATTTTGCTCCCGCCCCATGTTGCGACCGGTGTTCGGGACCTGCGCGACTGCCACGGCGATATTCGACATATCCTCGCTGCCCAGGGCCACTCTATTCTCCAGGTGGACACGTTTACTCGTCCCCCTCGTGGTAGTCGCCGTCAACCCCTCCGGGTTGTGAAGATTACCTTTGATGGTAGGACCCTTCCACCCTCTGTCATTCTTGCTGGTGCCAGGTGCTCTGTCCAGGAGTACATTCCTTCTCCTCGGCTCTGCAACAAGTGCTGGAGGTTTGGGCATGGTGCCCTCCGCTGCTCCGGGACTGTCTCTCTCTGTCCTTTGTGTGGTGGCGAAGGTCACTCTAAGTCGGAGTGCGCTTCTCCCCAAGCTCGCTGCCTCAACTGCGGTGAGGCCCATCCTACCTTCTCCCGTGCGTGTGTCCATTACAAGCTTGAGGCAGCCGTCCTCAACTTGAAGCACCGGGAGCGTTTATCTTTTCCTGAGGCGAGGCGCCAGGTTCGCCGGCTCCCGCCTTATGCTAATATCTCTTATGCTCGCGTGTTGCGCTCTTCCTCTCCTCGTCCTTCCCGCCTTCCTCAGACTCACAACCGTTTCCGGGCCTTGGACCCTGATGCGCCCACTGCCCCCTCCTCTGTCCCTTTGGGTTCTCTCCCGAAGGAGCCTCCTCCTGGTCCTCTGTCTGGGGTTCCCCTTCCTTCTACCCGGTCTGTCGTGTCTTCTGTGTCTTCTTCCTCGTCCCCCTCCGATCCTCCTTCCCATCCTCTTCCTCCATCTATCGGCTCTCCCCGCCGCCTGTCGGTGCGGGCGGATGTCCATCGCTCTCCTAACGGCCGTCGTGTGTGCTCTCGTTCGGCTTCTCCTGTTGAGACACTGGAATCCGTTGCCCGGTACGTAGTTGCTGGGACACCGGTCTCTTTAAGTCAGAAGCGTAAGCCTGGCTCCTCTCCTTCCTCTTCCCCGGCGGGTAAGAAGGCTTCGCTTTCTTCCTCAGCTCCTCCTTCTGGCTCTGTTGCTCCTTCCCCTCCCGTTTCAGTGCTTGCGCCCCCTGTTCCTGCTATGGAGGTTTCTTTGGCCCCTGCTTCCCTTTCGGTTGCTGCTCTTGCTGGGGTGCGCTCCTCTCTTTCTACTCCCCCTCTTCCTGCTGCTGTCCTTGACTGCTCCTCTCCGTTGTCTCCTCCTCCTCCTCCTCCTCCTCCTCCTCCGGACCCTGCCCGCCCACCTCTGATCTGTTCTCCCGTTTCCTTCCCTCCATCTTTGCTCAGTTTACCCCCTAACCCTGACTTTGCTGACCCTGATCCCGACCCTGATATTCTTTAACGTGCTCTGTTGCTCTTTCGCCTTTGTTTCTTCCTTGTTCTCTGTTTTTGTCCTTTCTCTTCTCGTCGTTGTCCATTCTTCAATGGAACGTTCGAGGTTATTACGCCAATTTCCTCGAACTCCAACTTCTGGTTTCGCGGTTTTCGCCCCTTTGTGTCTGTCTCCAGGAGCCAATGCTTGGTGCTCGTCCTGGTCGTTTTCGTGGCTATTCCTTTCTCTCCCCCCCCCCCCAGCCATTGCTGGGGCTTCTAATTCTTCTGCTTTCTTGATTCGGGCTGATGTTCCCTTTGTTCCTTTACTTTTTCCTTCGCCTCTCCATTGTTCTGCTGCTCGTATCTTTGTGGGGAAATGGTACACAGTTTGTTCCATTTATCTCCCCCCGAGTGTCCCGCTCTCTCTTCCTGATTTGAAACACCTCCTAGACTCCTTGCCGGAGCCTGTGCTCCTGCTGGGTGACTTCAATTGTCGTCATTCTCTTTGAGGTGACGTTCTGACGAATACCCGGAGTCGCCTCCTTGAGCCGTTTCTCCTCTCTTCTTCCCTGTCTCTTCTGAATTCTGGTGAGCCCACTCATTTGGACTCTCGAACTCGCACCCTTTCTTGTCTTGATCTTCCTCTCTGCTCTTCTTCTCTTTACTTAGATTTCACGTGGCAGGTTCTTGATGACCTCCATGGAAGTGATCATTTCCCCATCCTTGTTTCCTTTTTCTCTTTTCGCCCTTCCCTCTCTTTCCCTAGGTGGCAGTTTGCTAAGGCGGACTGGACCCTATTTTCCCTCAGTGCTACTCTCTCTGACCTCTCCCTTCTGCCCCTCTCTCGCGCTCTCCTCCTTTTTCATGACACTGTCTTCGACGCTGCCCTCCGCTCTATTCCTCGCTCTTCCTCTCGGGGTCCACGGAAGTGCGTTCCCTGGTGGAATGCGGACTGTGCTCGGGCTGTCCGCTGTAAGCGTGCAGCCTGGAAGAAGCACCGCCGTAGGCAGACGACCGATTCTTTTCTTTTCTTTCGGAAAGCGAGTGCGGTGGCCCGTAGGGCCATCCGTACGGCTAAACGTGAATGTTGGGCATCTTATGTCTCGACAATTACGTCCGAAACCCCTCTGGCCCAGATCTGGAAGCGTATCCGCAAGATAGCGGGTAAGTTCATTCCCGATGTTTCACCGGTCCTTCACCTCCATGATACTCTTGTGGCGGACCCGTTGCAGGTCGCTTCCGAACTGGGTTCCCACTTTTCTTCTGTTAGCTCTGGTCTTCATCTTCCCCAATCTTTCCTTCTTCGTAAACCTGTCCTTGAGTCTCGTCCTTTAGATTTCTGCACTGATCTTCAGCTTCCCTATAATGATCCCTTCTCTCTCTCTGAACTTCGT